CATGCCAAAATTTTAGAATGTGATTCACGTAACGTACTCTTGGATGGTTTATGGAATGCTTAATTCACTCTCTGATCTCTACAGATTTTGAGTTACTCAATTAAATAGCTCCCGGCCCATTTTGACGAACTTCTCAAAACATTGTATGCTGTTTCTTCTCGATGAGAATAGCCTTCATTTAGCGTTTCTGTGGAACTACCATCTTTTGCATATTCTTCGCTTTCACAGATTTAAAAATCTACACGAAACTTTGTGTCATTTATATTGAGGTATAAGCGATATTCGGAATATCATACTCATTTTTCAGCATTTAGCCTCGACTTCCTTGACATTTATTTCTTTACCATCGATTTGTCTGTTCACATTTTCCTCTCCCATCCTCATAAACAGGGTTTTGGTGCTCGAGTCAATTGCCTCATCATTTCCTAGTATATACGTTGAGCCAGCTTTTCTTTTAATGTCCTCTTCTTTGCTTTCATGACGGTATCAGTGCTTAAGCCACACTTCCAACATAATCGTCGGATGTTCCTTCTTGATGGCTTATCGAAAGAAACACACTATTAGCTTCTCAGCAATTCTTGCTTCATCTACACAGTATACACACGTCGAAGAGTCATAAACAGGTTCTTATATTACTATATAACAACTGATTAAGAAACAGATGGTTTGAAATCTGAAAAACATTTAATGTTTTAAATGCTTATAATAAACGACCGGGTCTAACCGTCGTTTTCTTGACCTAAACTGGTTCTTATGATGGTATTCAATACATCATTCTTGTTTCTATTTGTTTATTTATTTGTCTGTCTATTCTGTCTATTTGCATTACGTCATCGTCTGTGATCGATTTATAAATTTGCCCCATTATCAGAATCATCACCAACGGGCGATGATTGAGAAGCAGTATTTCATGTCAAAAGAATAAAAAGTAGGTTCTATATAAACTTTATGGCCTTTGAGATACCTGTTTGATTTTTCATATAAGAAGTTACACTGAGATTATGTTGCGGAGCCAACCTCCTTGCAATATCATTCGCCAAGAACTTTTTACTTTTTGAACGTTATGCATGTAGTTAGGTTCTCATCAGGTTGATTACTTTTCTTTTCTAAGGTAATGAACATCTCCCTCGAAAAAATCGATGATTGTGTAATGGAAATTAATTTTTCGAAAGTTAATCATGCCTTCTTCCCGTTAGGTTAGTTCAGCCTTGGGAGCGGTAATAAAGTCAGCCATATTCTATGTTGCTGATTTAGTAACTTCGAAAAAATTCCATAGACTTTGAACCGAAAGCCAGAGATCAGTGGGAGGATGATGGAATTTATCCCTGTTTTCAAGACATACCTGTCGTCACTAAGGGCCATGTGATTATAAAACCAGTCGGAAGATTTAAGACACACCGCCGCCAGCGTTGACTCTCAAAATAAGCATTGTGAACGGGTACTCCATTTCACTTCTGTGACGTAGAGGTGATGTGGATACAATTGGAATGTCTTGCCATTTGTTTGTCTGTCCATATTCGACGGCCTAGGACATCTATGATGACAGCTTTTGTTATAGGGGTTCTGTAAGAAAGACACTATCATCATCAGTCTACCCATACTGTGAAAACATTTCCATCAAGCATGGCATGCTTTACTATCCGGTGAGCAATTTTCGCTTAAACGGATGACCAAATTATGCGCTATTTGAGGCAACGTTTTTTCCTTCCAGGTTCTCGTCATTAAGGAGGAAATCTTTTTTCAGCGGTACGGCTGATATAACATTTTTCGCATATGGTGATGACACTAATCCATGTCGTATTAAGCCTTTCTGAATATCCCTCACGACTCGTAGTCCTCTTTTCCCAGGGTAGGCAGCATTAAAATAAAATTTCGCCACGCTGCGTTCCTCAGAATATACTGACGACAGTTCCTCTCACATTCGTTTTTTCCGTGCTTGCAGCTGGAGCATCATTCGTCGAAGTGGATTTACCATAACATATGGACAAACTTGTCCACGAAGATTAAGTCTTCAGAAATGCGCATATGATTGTAGCAAATGGCGGAATGATCCTTCCACACGTATCTATGCCCCTCCAGTGCCATCAAGCCTCCTAATCTCATTTAAGCAAAATTCATTAATAAAGTTCTATAACTCTATCATGATTCAACAGTAGAACTATATTAAATAATCATATTTCCAAAACATACTGCCATAAACATAATTTTAGACTGGTTTGCTCAGGCGTCGAAAGCAACGCGAATACATAGCACAACACGGTAATACGAATTTCTGACTGGTGACCGGTGACCTTCGGACAGCCGGTGCTCTTATTGATGTGCAACATATTCGATGTTCTTGCTACCACACAATTTGGAGAACGACTACGACCTTACCTGCCTTACTAAGTTAGCTCCAGGTTTACGTCAAGGTTTCGCAGACGCTGTTTCGAAACAGCTGCACATAAACTAGGGAAAATCAGATCGATGCACTTTAAATTGTTGATGCATAAACTTTTAAGCTTACGCCAGTAACGCGCTGTGCATGACTTAAAGCAGACTCATCCATTAAAAACTCCCTCTAAGCTAGAGATGATATGCTGTATGCACCTTCTTACTCGATGATGAACAGCACAGAAGACAATGAAAGATCTTTAGCAAATGTCTAATGTTTAGAACGAACGTTGTCGGTCTTCGTCGTTCCTTATGATGATCTGTTTCCGTTTGGTTGAAGCTACGGATACTGGTTGAACAAAAATTATTAGGTTTTTGTGTTTTTGGTCATAGAATCGTAAGAAGCGTCCGCTTTAGTCAGATCATGCACATTATGCATTTTTTAGAGCTTTGAGGTAGGCGGTAAATGGAGATGAGCAAACATCACAAGTCTTAAAATTCTTAGACAGGCTGTTGGTTTACAACGAAGCTGAAGATGATTGTGAGAAGCAACGAACAAAGGCTATTGTAATATGACGACAATACTTCTTGCTGATGTTAGTAGAGGCTGCAGCAATGTCGACTGTTAATTCTATTGTCGGTTAACCAGGCAACAGAAATATGCAGCCTTGCGGTCCTTGGTCCTATATGCCTTGCTTGTAGCCAGTCATTCTACTCATAGACTGAGGGAATAAAGAGTTCATAAGCAGCTTGTTGTTACTCCTCGTTTGCTGTTTCATTTCTTGCCGTGAAGACTATAATCATCAGCTTCCTGACATTTTGTCCTACGCTATGGTCTGTCACTTTGGTCGTCTTTGTCGATTGTTTGCGAAGAGGAAATCAGGAATTCAAGTAGAGAAAGATGATTCATCGCCATATTTAAGGGAGGGTTCAGAAATTGTGCACTGAAATTTGATCGATCAACGTGGACTTTCAAAATTTAGGTTGCTTCAATAAAACTTTCTG